TAATAATGGGAATCAGGATTCCCAGTTCTATTTCTGACTTGTGGCAGTTTGTCTGTAAACCCACTGCGTCATTTAAATCCTCTGTGTCTATCTCAGTTGACCCTTTTCTAGTATGTGTCCCAGAGTATATTTCACATCACTCTTCCTTCTGAAGCTTAATAAATTCCACAAAGTGTTAAGCAAAAATTTTATAATTTTGCATAGTTATAAAATTTTGAAATCTAGTTTTTCTTTTCATGGAGAAATTATGCCCAGAAGGAACACTGTTCATTAGGGATTTAAATTGTGCTGTTTACTTTCGCAGCTATAATGTGCAGAACGTGTGCAGTGAGTGTAAGCTAGAAGCAGCTTGCTGTACATCAGAGTATCTGAAACGCCATGTTAACTACATAGGCAGAATTGGAAATAAAAAATTGTATGATGCTTTTAATGGCAGGCTTTGTAGCTACTATTGTTGCACAGTCTTATTCCCTAAATGCTGAGCATTATGTAGTTGATTTGGCCATGGTTTTCCTCACTGGTCTCGTCCTTGCATAGCAGAAAACCTAGTAATCTGTAAATTGTGGGGGGGAAAGAGCAGGTTAGAGACTGTCCCTTGTCATTTGATATTTGAGTGCCCCTGCATGTGCCATATATTAGTTTTATTTTCTACTGTGACACCTAGCTATGAGAAAAGAACTCTCCAGAGCCTCTTAAAAGACATCTTCTATTAAAGATGGAAAGAGTTAAGCAAAAAGCAGACAGTAGATCTCACAGCCGGAGGTAAAAATAATATACACGGATGTCTCTCATGCTTTAATTGGAAGAGAGTGTGGAGCTTAGTTTCCCTTGCAGGAATGTTTTGTAAAAGAGTGCTTGGTGGAGGTTGAATGGGGAAAGCGAAGGTAGGTGGAAAGCGTACATCTGTGTCAAAGCTGTGACAAAATGCTTGGAAAATGCCCAGAAAAACAAGTGACTCTAACGCTTAAGTTTTGCATAGTGTTCCCTACAGGTCATAATTTTCCCTGTGAGGAGACAGAAATGGATATTGGAGAAGGTCAGACAGCCCATTGTGGTGCTGAAGGTGGATATGAGGGCCTCCTGTGCAAGGTTAAATTTGAGAAAAAGATGCAAATCAGGAAATAGGTGTGGCACCCAATTAGGCTCCTGCAGAAAGTGATCTGGTATGAGCCTGGCTTCTGTCTTTCTGGTGCTGGGCAAAAAGGGTCCCGTTTATGAGAGCTTTGCCTTCCCTGTGTTCATCGGACAAGTTGCCCCTGAGAAAAGGAATGCTGGAGAAAGAAAGAACTGCAAACTTAGGTGTAACTTCAGTAATGGGTTGTTGGATAAGGACTACAGAAAATCCAGCACTCTGGAGTGTCTCAGGAGTTGCTCCCTGTAAATACGTAACTCTCATGAAATTTACTGAAGTAAGGAGTTTTGTGAAGTTGGATTTTGTTCAATTTAGTTGGGCCCATGTCCAAACCAGCTTGGCCTGTATTTTTACCTAATGAGTACTTGGCTGGGATGCCACCAAGTATATTGTTGGTGCTGCAAGAAGTGCGTGAGGATTGATGGGTTCTTATGTGGTAATCTTTGCCTAGACCAGTCCAGGAGCCCAAGTGAAGCATATGAAGGCTGCTGCCCAGCTGGCTTTTGTAGTAGTTGAAGAACTGACTGTGCGTTTTATAGGAGCTGAGGATGACAATTCCTTGAACTCATATTCAGGGTCTACAGTTTGATAGTGATGTTTTGTTTTGCCTAAATTGTCCGAATCTTTCCTTAACTTTTCCCTTTTAGAAAAAAAAACCAAAACAAAACAACAAACAAACCAAAACCAAAACAACAAACAAAATCAAACCCAACAAACTGTTTGATACTGCTGGTACAAGATGTTTGTGACGTTCCAGCTCCAGAAACAAACTAATTTTAGTGTCGGGCAAGGTAATTGCATTCAAACACAGAGAGATTGTAATTAAGCTTTGTGCATTGCTACCTGAGAAGAGATGCTTCTTAAATGTGAACCACATCATTATTAGTGCAGTTGGCCTGTTGCCTATCAAAGCACTGATTATTTTCTACAACAGCTACTCCAGTTCCTCTGCTTTTTCAGTTTCCTGTTATCTCACATGGACATCAGCAGTCCCTTTGCCAAATTTCTTAGTAAACGTGGCACTGCAGACTCATAGGAAGAGGGTTTATCAGCACTATAGCAGTTAATTGCTTTAGCTAGCATATGGCACCGTCCTGTGAACAGTGGAGATGCAGAAAGTGTGTGAATACTGTTGGAAGTGAATCACTTTGATAGTTGTTCTGTCTTGGTGGGGATGTTAAGACAGCTAGTAATGGATTTGGTATCTTAGATCTGCTTTTTGAAGTGGTTCAAAACTGTGTTACTGAGCTATTTTGAGAGATCCTATACTTTAAAAATGCTGAATTTTCTGTTTACTTGTTTATAAACTTTGCTTTGGCTTTTTTGGGTGCATTTACTTATTAAGTGTTAGTGCTTAGTTAGGTGCCTGGATACACAATTCCTGAGTGAACTTGTCCTTTGTATCTCATTCTCTTTCATGTATGTTTCTCAGAGGAGCTCCTTCAGCCAGATCTATTGAAGGAATAATTATTTCATCAGGATTTAATGTATATCTTGATTGCACTTTAAAGACATTCTCTTGAGGAGTTTTTATCATTTCAACAAGGTATCATAGCATGTAAACAAGGAAATAAACATTATCTTTCATATTAATCAACAAGATGATTAAATAATAAAGACTGTTGTTAATTGGTACTTGGAGATAGAGGGTAATGACTGCCTTGAGTTCCACAATGAGAGTACCAACCAGTAGAGAGACTTTTCTGCACAGTAAAGCTGCATATAATTTAGGAGGCATTACGGTTTTAGTGTGCAGCTGCAACCATAGTGAAATTGTGCAACTGTTTGCCTGGTGTCCTATTTCAGGCGCATGTTTTCATACTGAATGAAGTATTACCAAGGGGATTTGAGATTTAGGCAGTTAAATCAGTTCTCATTGCCACCAAAACCCCAAGGTTCTGCATAAACCTATGCTTGCAATGTTTTGCTTCGCTGTGGGAT